GTACACAATTACAATTATGTTTTAACACCATAAATGTCTCTCTTCAGATGATGTTAAACTACTGATGAGCAACTGACTAATTTTTCGTATTGGAAGAGTGATATTGTATATAACTTAAATTCAGAAAAAAAGACCTCATTGGGTGCAATTAAATTTTATGACATCAAACCAGAATAGTAATAAAGAAAATAAAAGCAATGAATTAAACTCAAAAGTATCATCTCACTATTTCTTTTTTAATATCGTTTTTAAACTTAATGTATTAAAATAAATAAAATCATTAATTGTACTATATATATACATATATGTTTGTGTGTACGTATCTGCTGACGATTGTATGAAACAATGAGTACAAATTCAAAAAGATAAGTGAACCGTTTTATTTATTTAGAGATAGATAAATAGATATAGACAGATATGATGAACTGGTTGTCTCTGCTCTCACTTAGGGGAGGGGATAATATAGAAAGCAAAGTTATTTCACCCAGAACATTTTTAGTTGTCAACAATCCTTTCCCCAGCACTGAAGCATAAATTGTTTTATTTTTACATTACATTATTTTGGGTGGAATAAGGGGGGGCAAAAGGAAAAAAAATAAAAGGAAAAAAAAAAAAAAAGAGAAAACGTTTTAGGTCAGGATTAACCTTTATGAGGAGCTGCAGAATGCCAACTAAAGCCAGTCGGATGAGGGAGGGAAACATAAAGCAAGAGACAACAGGAAGGAAAGAACAGATCAGGAGGGGGGGATTCCAATGTGCGAGAAAGAAAGGAATCTAATGTGTTGTCATGACAACCAGAATGCAAAATAATGCTCAATCAATACTTATATAAGCAGAAAGTACTTTTTCCTATTACACATGCATATCTATGTATCTGTGCGTGTGTGTGTGTGTGTGTGTGTATATATATATATATATATATATATAGGCAGTATATCTTCATTCAAACACATTTCATTGAATAATCTAAACATATTGTATCTATTTTTATAGTGATCCTTTCCAGTTGTCTAATCAGTTTCTTGATACGATGAAAATCATCAAGGAAGGTGCCATAGTTTTTTTTTCTAACCCAAGTACTTTCAATCTTTTTCAATATCATCTTCATGGGTAAATTACGAAGACAACTTGTAACTATGACATATATATATATATATATATATATATATATATATATATATATGGCAGGCAGACAATCTATTAGGAGAGGTGAAGGAAGAGATCTTTAAAAAAAAAAAAATACATAAAAGTTAAAAGCTGTTCTGCAATATTTCATTAAATTGGAGATATAGGAAGAAAATGTGACTATATGAGGATTTAAATCACAGTTCAGGTTTGCGATCATAAACATACAAGATATTACAAATATTAGATTATATCTGTTTGATTAACTTCAAAGCCACATTTTCCCCCCTTTTTCTCTGAATGACTTGTTCAAATATTCATCATTCAGCACTTAGAAAGAAAGTCAAACATCACACCTCCCAGAAAGCCCCCCCCCGCACCAACTAAGATGGAAAGCAGCTGAGAGAAATGTATCATAATTAATAAACTTAAGTATCATGCATTTTACAAGTCGTCAACCCTGTTGACTACTTATTTAGTGAACCAACTGCTCTTCAAATTCTGTTCTGAAGCTTCAATCTGTTTTGTTACATCAGATTACAAAATAAATATTCAACCAGAAAACTAGTATTCACATTAACAGATTATCTATTTCAGGGTAAACTTATTAACAGGCTCGAACTGTGACTTCTGGTCATGCGTACTAGCATGCCCTCATTTTTAAATTAAGCTTACTAAATATTATCACTGAGGTTCTGTCTCCAAGGTCAGCACTCTTGCTTTATACTAAAAGAAATTTTTGAAAGACCTTCTTTGAAAGAGAAATACCATGAGTTGTGTACTGCATCAGGTGCTATGCTTCTACACTTACATGAACAAGCAAAATGCTGACCTTGTGTCACATTATGCTATGAATGGGGATGGCAAAATAAATACTAGTTGGTTAATCTCAAAAAAATTATGACAAAATTTTTTTAAGTAAAAATAAATTATCAAAAATAGATAACTACTGTATTATAAATGAAGGGAAAATCTCAAATGTATATAGATAGAAAGCAAAATTTTAAAAAAATTTTTTTTTTAAATTTTAAAAATTTAAAATTAAAACTTTTTTTTTTAAATTTAAAGATTGAAAATTAAAAAAAAATTTTTTAAATTTATAAATTTAAAGGTAGAAAGCCAAATTCAGATAAGTTAGTTTTTGAATATGAGGACCTCAGGTTATTTTGCCATTGTTGCAAGGTACTGCTTTGAATTAAACTAAAATCATTGGCAACAATATTTTGCACATGTAAATGACAGGTGTAAGGAAATAGAATGAATTTCAATAACAGCATATTTTATATTTTGGTTTTTATATAACAGTAAAAACAGAGAATATACACTAGTATGCATGTAAAAGATAAATACTGAAAGTTAGTAATTATGTAGGTGATACATGTGTGTGAAAAAGTTAGTATGGTGAAGAGATTTTCTTCATATGGAGTTTAAAACTTTAGCAGTTGGTTAGCAAATGAATCATTTGCATATCCAATGCCGCTCGCATCACCATCCTGGCTATCTTGTGGGGAAACTAATAGACACTTTCTTCATAACCAGACATTTTTGGGGTTCACACCAGCTCTGTGCTGGCAGGGCAGCCATGTGCTGTCATCCTGTAGAGACAGCACACTAAACGGCATTTCTTTCACTGACGGGGTGCATAAGATATCCCCATGCTCGGGAACAAGGTCCAGTTGATCAATTCGTCTTTTTGCAGGTTATTTAAAGTCAGAAAATATTTTCAGATTTTAAGAAGTGTCACAAGGGGTGAAATCTGAGGAATATGTTAGTTGCCAGATCTGGATTATACTGTGCTTGGCCAAAAACTGCTGCACCAGCCATGGTCATTGACGGAACCTCTGTAGTGTGGTGAGATGACCACACTCTACACACATTCCTTCCAAGCTCTGCTATAATCATCGGAAGTGAGCAAGAACATTATAACTTATTGTGTATGTGTGACAAAGTTCAAGGTACAAAGCACTAAAAATGCTTCCATTTTAAAGAAGGGGAAAAAATAGATTCTCCGTTATGTCTTAGCAATTAATAGACAATATATTCTTTCTTGGATTCACTGAAGCAAAACAGAAAATGAAAGAATTACAGACATTTGCTAAGTTTGGAAACAAATGAGCTGTGGCAAGAAAATTGCGCTGCATGCAAGTCTTCTAAATTGGGAAGGATCTTGTGCCAGAAAACCAGTCATCTTTGGCCTGGGAATAAAAAATACAATGTGTAAATGCAGGGAGTTGTCCCTGCCAAGGTTACACCTATTCATTGAATTTAAATGAGTCAGAATCAATTCTGATGCTTGAAGCAGCCAAAAAGCGGACAGTGAAGGAATTGGACAATTCTCATGTCTACCAATAATTATCGTCACACTAAACTGCAAACTGTGTCATATTTCAGCCACATGGTAAAATGGATAAATATCTTCCAGCCTTGAAAATCTGCATTCAAAATCTTTACTGTTATCTGGGTTTGAACACTAACACTTGTTAAAAAGATGCAACCAAATCAAACACATTCTGAAGAAATTATTAACACATAATAATTTTTATTGTTGAATAATGACAAAGTTGTCATTTAACAAAATCTTAATATTGAACTAATATGACTCCAATAATAATGAAGACCAGATAATAAGACAAGGAAAGAGTTTATCTTCTATTATTATGAGAATAACTAGCAGTACCTGGCAAAATTTTTCCTATTTTAATTTTCTGATAAAATGTAATTTTTAATTTAATGGCTGAATAAACTCCTTGCAAGTTCTACAATTATAAAGTACCTATTATACTCCTATTATTGCATTGTTAAATATTTGAGCTAAACTTTAACAAAATATTATTTCTACTTGTCCCTTAATACTTAATGTTACACCCAGGCATTACCTCAAAGGTAATGTTAAGTTTTGGGATAAACAAAAGGAAGATAGAGGCCATGATAACACTCTCAGATGTTTATTATCTGATTCAATGAAATTTTGGATCTTTTCATTTGTACCCTCTTACTTCTTTAAACAATGACCTATATTCATCCTTACAATTATTATTGCAATATTTTGTTAAGCTCAAAAGTGTAACAATGCAATACAATAATTTCCATGGCTATTTTACAGTTGTGGAAGTCACAAGGATCTTATTCAATCATTAAATTAAAAATTACAACTTGTCAGAAAATTCAAACAGGGAAACTATGAAATTTTTACAGGTACAAACTAGTTAATATAAAAGATATGAAATTTTAAATCTGACTTTACTCAAGACAAAAATTAAATGAAAAAAAAAACAAAATTAAAAATTCATGAAATTATTCTCAGTTTCATAAAATGTGCAAATAGAAATAAGCATAAATTGTATATATTTAGTTAAAAAAAAAAAAGAATTATTTCAATATAATTTTTTTAATTAGTAAAAATAGTTCCTAAACAACACTGGTGGTGAGAATTGAAAATGAAATACACACTAGTGGTTTCTAAATTTTCTTACTTCATGCCCCAGCTCAACAGCCATGCCCTACCAAAAAAATCTGAATACACCTGAAAATTCTGTCTATATTTTTGAAATGAGGTATTGTAATTATTTACTTTGTTCAGACTGTTGTCCTCATCTTGCAATATTCACGACATATGAGCACTGGTAAAAAAAATGATTACTGAGACATTGTTTCCGCATCAGAGTTATGAGTTCACTACCTGGTTAGTGCCCTGATGAACAAAAACTTGGAGAGTTCATTTAAAGGGAGATAATCAACACATCCAGAAGAGGCATTGCAAGTTGAACTAGAACAATCTACCCTGGTAGATGAAATAAAGGGTTCAGTTCAAAATTCTAATCACCTGAAGAAAACCGGAGCATACAATGGCTGAAATGTTGTGAACTGCCCAATCTTACAGCCATATCAACTTGAAACATCTGTTCTCATATGATCACTGAAGTTAAGCAACATTGAGCCCTGGTCAGTACCTTGATGAGTAACTGCTTGAGAATACCATGTGCTATAAACTTGGAAGTGCAAGTGGTGTAATGGAGAAAGGTTTGGAATTGGAAATCAGAGAGCTGAGTTCCAATTCCAGTTGGATTTGTTATAGTCACTTACACGCAAATACCATTTGGAAGGGCATGAATCCACATCTTCTCCCCCAGTTATGGGTTAATTAGTAAGACTTGAATCATTAAATCATTATTACTTAAAAAAATAAAATAAAATAAAAAAGTAAGTTTTTTTCTTTACAATCTAAAAATCTTTTTGTCTATATCTCTGAGATGAGGTATTATGATTAATGGATTATTTACATCATCTTCATTTTCATATTCACAATGTTTTGGCCATTGTACGCTTTGGCCTTTTTCAGGTGATTAGAATTTTGAATGGAACCCTTTATTCTGTCCAATATGGTAGATTGTTCTAGTTCCACGGGCCATGCCACTTCCAGATGTTTCAGTTATTTCCCTTTAATTCGACTCTCCAAGTTTTTTTGGTTCACCACTAAAAATATTTAGTTATATTTGCTTACACACAAATATCCTTAGGAAAAGTATGAATCGACCTATTCTCCTTCCCCCAGCTATGGATTAATTAGTAGAACTTGCAAATAATTATTATCAAAAATTTTTTTACAACTTACAAATATTTCGTGGCTTTAAATAACCTGCGAAATGATAAGCCATAAAAAAACAATAAATCAAATTGCTAAGTTATATTCTAATCATAAAATTACTTTTTTATCCTTAGTATACAGGTTCCCTTCTGATGTTGAAAAGCAGCAGATAATAAAATCATTCATGTATATCCATCCAAATTTTTTTTTACTATACACCATAAGCACATTTAATGACAGGAGAGGGGACATTCTCTACCACAAACATCAACTAAGAAATACTAACTTAAAACTGTAAAAATGAAAGACATCTTTTTTTTTTTTTTTCATTAATTTAAGGTTTTTCCCTCAAGTTAAAATAATTCAAATGAATAGCTTTGAGGATATTTAAATTGATTTTATTTTTTTTTTAATTTTGAAAATACAATTCTTATTTCAGACTCGTGTTTGCATTTTTTATGTTCTATTCATTTGAAATATATTTTGCAAAGTAATTATGGCAATTCACAAATGAAGAAAAAGAATCTGTGATCACCTATCTCCTGAAAGACAAAAACTAAAGATTTAGTAACATGATCTAATTTCTCCTGATATGAAAACAGAAGCCAATATAATTCTGCTGTTTGTATTAATCTAAAAACACAAGATTTTAAGTCAGACTTTACCTCAAGACAAAAGTTAATGAAAACTTTGATGACGAGGTCAACTGTAAAATGTTCAGGTTCTATGATACAAAAAGGAAGCCATTGCTTTAAATAAATAAAAGCTTCTGTTAAGTAAAAGAATTGTTGCATATTTATGGCATTATGACATTTTCCACTGATCATTTAAAAAAGAAAAAAATCACACACGTTTTACATAGATAAAAGCTCTTCTTAATGTCTGAACTGTACTTGTGAGTAAAATTTTTTGTATTTTTTTTAAGGCATGTCCAACCAGGAATCCCTTCAATGAGTTTATTGATCTCTTTTCCAATCAATCCAGAGGGCTCCAACTACAACTGGAATTATTGATATTCTCATGTGTCACAATTTTGAGATTTCTATTTGTAGATCCTGATATTTTGATTGTTTATTTTGTTTTTTTTTTTAAATCTTCAAAAATACATTACAATCTACAGGGACTGCCATGTTGCTATCATTATTATTATTATTATTATTTAGTTAGGCTTTTGAATAAACAACTTCACAAAAGTTTCTTTTCACAGGGAATTAAGTACTTTTGAAAATATAGTAACATTTAAATAGTGAATGTTACTAAAGAAATATTTCTGCGTTATAAACCAGATTGTTCTTTTGCTAAAAGAACACAAGTAATTTAATACTTATGAGATAAGACATTGCAATTACATGGACAGTGATAATGTCAGGGAGAAACTGAGTTAATTTAACCTTTCTGTCGAAGTTCTACAATCAGAACAATATCACTTGATATCCGGTCAAAGTTCAGATAGATATTTAAAAAAAAAAAAAAAAAGAAAGAAAGAAAGGTCAGCATTTGTAATTTGAAAGATCTCTTAGAGGAAAAATGCCTAATAAAGACAAATGCAAACAAATAATTTCTGTAGAGCATTTATTTGTTTATTGAAATTAAAACTTGTATTTTTTTAAAATATCAAATTGAAGACCAAAAGATTTGAGGAAAATTTATTTTAAATTCAGGTTCAATTCAAAAAAAAAAAAAAAAAATTCTAGTAAAATTATTCCTATTATTCTGTTTGCATGCATGAGCAACCTTTTCTATTTAAGATCAAAGTGTAGTATGTGTTCCCTGGTCTTTCTAAGCAAGAAACTGACATAATATTAAATAAGGAATAAGGGGGATATGGAGGAAGAATTTAAAAAAAAAAAAAAAAAGGGAAGAAGACTGCTACAGAAAAGTAAGGTAAAGAATGAAAATATAACAGACAACCAATTATGTTTTATCATGAGCCTTTCCAAGTGTCATATAACGACTTTAGTTTCAAGAGAAAATAAAGATAAAAACTGTCCAACATTTGGATATTTCTTTATTATATTGGACGTCAATCTAAGCTTTCAGCTCTACATGAGACTTCATCAGAGTGGTTATATGGACAATGATCAATATAATAAAGAAATGTGCAAATGTTGGACAGTTTTTAATTTCTTTTGAAACTAAAGCCATTATACGACGCTCATGATAAAACCTAATAGACATTCGTTGTCTGTTATACTTAACAATATATGTTTGAACAATGATCTCCTGCACCTATACAGTAAATATATATATATATATATATATAAAGATAAATAAATATATATATATAAAGATAAATAAATATATATATATATTTCTGTTTATACTTTTTTTTATGAATACATTTATTTGAGTAAATGCTCTGTTTTTTAATTAAACGGCATTAACTACATTTACCAGACTAAATGTTATAGAAATTTTGTAGAAATTTTAACCACCTCCATATATATATATATATATATATATATATATATATATATATATATATAGAGGTGGTGTAGTGGATAATGGCTCTGCTAGAAAATCCAAATAGGTTTGTTACATTCCCTTATATACAAATAGCCTTGGGAAATGTATGAATGCATCTCTTCTCTACCCAACTATGAGAAGGACTCTAGCTTTGATTGACAACCAGTATAGGAGAAGGAAAACTATTCAAAACCTGGAAAGAGCTGTTTGGGGACCTCATGCACATTAGTTCTCCATATTCGGTTCTTCCAGAAGTATATGGTTTTGCATAACCCTTCACCCTGATGAGTGTGACTGTCCAGTTCTAGCAGCAGAATTGTTGGACGTCAAAGACAAGCAAAGTCCATCACACACAGGTATATTATATATATATATATATATATAATGGATTCAGTCCAACAATTATTCAATATATTTTCTGTTTGTATGTTATTTTTTAATAGATACAATTTATTTAATAAATGTTGTTTTTCTTCTTTTTTTTTTTTTTTTTTTAATTAAACAGTATTAATTACATTTATCGGCCTGAATGTTTGAGAAATTTCATAGAAAATATGTGTTCTCTGACAGGAATTGAATCAGTGTCCTATATGAAACGATCAATTGACCCAACGTGCTATACCACTCAGCTACAGAGAAAGTGTCTGGTTAACAAAGTCCAATTAATATTTATAACCAACAAATCTTCGACAATCTTTCCCCAAACGATCACATCAGCTCACGAAACATACCTTAATGTAAACATTGGCAACATATGAAATGGATTAAGTCCAACAATAATGGATAAGCAGAAAATATATTAAGTAATTGTGGTATTACATTTTGTAATTTCAGTTACCCTGACAATACCAGAATTACTTCATGCTTTACTTAATAATGGTTCCAAAGTTAAAAAAAAATAATGATGCTTCCAATTCAGATTGGACAAAGTATTTCCTTTAAGAAAAAATGTTGGAGTTGTTAAGATCTATGAGATGACTGATCTATAACAAATATGACAGCATATTGTTATCACTGTTCTATTAGTAGTTAAGCCATGAAAAAAAGAAAAAAAGACAGCAATATTAAGTCATTTTGTTTACATTCTATTTATAAATTACAATAAACTTCATGTTGTGGCATATTCTCTTATTTTCAACTATCATAATTCAATTCAAATAGTTAAACCCGTGAACTTTCAGTTGAAATAGTTAAACCCGTGAACTTTCAGTTCAAATAGTTAAACCCGTGAACTTTCAGTTCAAATAGGAAAACCCGTGAACTTTCAGTTCAAATAGGAAAACCCGTGAAATTTCAAATAGGAAAACCCGTGAAATTTCAAATAGGAAAACCCGTGAAATTTTAAATAGGAAAACCCGTGAAATATTCATTGATTAAGGAAAAGAGATTTTAAATCTGACTTTATTCAAGACAAATATTAAAATGAAAGAAAGCCAAGTAAAAAAATACAAATCCTTGATTACTTTCATAAAATGTACAATTAGTCAAGTGGCATCAATTCCTAGAATACATATTTAGCTCCTTTTTGTTTTTTAAAGAAAAAGAAGTTATCTCAATATAACTTTTTAAAAATTAATCTTTTACAATTAATAAAAACATTTATCAAATAACATTGGATGGCTACATTTGAAAATAAAAGACATAAGTAATGATTCTTAACTTTTCTTACTCCATATCAAAACTGACAGAATTCTCTACATATGGTTATATACTTCTGTATCAGAATAAGATACATTCCGTGTATTTAACGCTATTATTACATATTACTTTACAAAAAAAAAAAAAAAAAAAATTCTGCTTTTAAGTTGCTACAAATAAAAATATACAAAGAGGGCCAACATGAAATAAAAGAAATAAAAAGCAATATATTACTGATCTAATTGTTAAGGTAACACAGATTAGCCAATCTGTGGAACCACAAATAATGGAATAG